CAAACAATGATATAAAACCATTAAAATTATCATATCGTTTTCAAAGCAGAGTAACCTGTTGGAAAAGCAAGTATATTTTTCCAGAAAAAGTGCAAAATGAGTTCCAATTTTTAACTGATGGATTTGGTCCCTGAAGACAGAGAAAAGACCAGAACCATAGTGGTGTTACTCAAACCAGCATGGTTGGCACAAGTCACACAATTGCAAGAAGTTTTTAAAACTACCTGCAAAGTTATAATAGTTATACTTGGAACAAATAATAAATAAATACTAATAAATACTCAAGTGACTCCTAAATTTCTGGCCCGAACATCTGGATGAATCAAGTTACCATTACTGAGACTGGAAAGGCTGGGGAACAGTAGATGTGTGGACAAAATAAAAAGTTTGGTTTTGACATGTTAAGTTTGAGATCCTGTTAGGTTTCAAATGGAGACATCAAATCAAGTAAGGCACTTAGACTTATGAGTCTAGGTCTTTAGTGAATAGTCAGGGCTGGAGACATAAATCTGGGCATAATCAGGGTATAGTAGGCACGTGAAGCCATGGGACTAGATGAGGTCACCTAGAGTTGATATCAGAGAGAGTTGTACTGGGACTGAGTCTTGGGGACTCCAGCATTTAGAGGCTGTTAAACGGAAGAGGCTCCAGCAAAGGAAGTGAAAGGGTGAAGCAGAAAGAAAACTCTGAGAGTGTGTTATCTGAGAAGCCAAGTGAAGAGGGCATGATGAACTGCCAATGCAATGGACAGGCCAAGAAGGAAGAACAGAGAATTAAGAACTTGTGTTATTATTGTTATCCTCTCCCTAAATATCTGTGGTCTATCTCAAAGATGCCAGCATCTGGCATCATCCCATGGAAGAGAGCTTTTTGGAAAGAATTGTATCAATTCGAATTAAATTCATCTGCATAAAATTGAAGAAAAAACATAGCATGGCTTAAAAGTGAAGATTACTTCTTTCACATTAAAAAAATGGAGCTAGGTAGCCCTGGGCATATTGCTGCTTTATGAAGTTATCAGAGACCCAAGTGCCCTCTGATTCCTGCTGCCTTCCCCGGGCTATGGCTGCCAGAGATTGGCCAGCACATTGAATTTCTGGCAAAAGGGTACAAAAAGTGGAGAATGGCAAGCTTATCCTTCTTTGGAGACTTTTGAGAAATACCGTTTAACTCTTCTTACATCTCATTGCCCAAAATTTAGTCACATGTCAAACCTAGCTACAAGAGAGGCTAAGAAATTAATCTTTTAGTTGAATGGTATTGTGCCCAGCTGAAAATCTGAATTTTGTTACTAAAGAGGGGAGAATGGATTTTCGGGGGGCAACTGGCAGTTTCTGGCCAGAGTCCTCTCAAATCAAACCAGTTGGTGACATGACTGCCTATTTGTTCCTAAGAAAATGGAAGAGTGTGCATTTGTATTCTTATTCTCATTTGTTCACTCACTTTTCTCTCTACTCTACCCTCCCCTCCCATGTGCACATCATACTTGCTGTGAGTGGCTTTTCCCCCGTCCCTTAGCAGTGCGTTGTTAATATTTTCACATATCCTTAAGTATTCTGCTTTTGGATTTTCAATAGCTGGATAGAGACCACCTCATGACCATACCATAGTTTTCTGTTGAGGACATTTAGGTTGTTTTAGCTTTTACGGTATTGTAAGTAAGGCTTCAGTAAATATCTCTGTACCTCTTTGAGGTATAGAGAAGGGCACATCATTGATAATTTCTACAGGATAACATCTTAGAAATAAAATTACAGAGTCAAAGAATATTAATAAAGATACTAATAACATCTACTCAATAGGTAAATGGCAACATATAACTACTGTTTCTTAAGGGGCAACTACTCTACGAAATAGGTATGTTTATTAGTCCCATTTATAGTTACCCTATAAGGAAACTGAGGCACTAAGAGGTTAAGGCACTTGCCCAACATTGTAATGATTTAGTGAGACTATAGGCACATCACTTAGCACAATGCCTAGCTGCTTCATGAGAAATATTTTTAAGGCTTGTCATATACAACTGCCCAACTGCCCTACCAAACACATTATGCCAAGTTATGCTTCCACTGGCAGTGAAGGACGTTCAGAAACAGGCCTTCTTGTGGAATATCTGCTTCTTTTAATAAATAACACGGGGCCTCGTATGTATCAACCTTGTGCCTGTAAGTTCACTTAGAAATACTTGATTCTTGTTATTCACAGTAGTTATGTTCTATAAAGACATCTTGAACACTGAAATAGTATTGAACCATCGTTCCTAGGGGAAATGCAGGGTCAGGTTCCTGTGAGCCTCTGGTCGAAACATTTTTGTTAGTGATCAGTTCTTAAACTTCTTTTATGTGTGTTTCTGTTTAAAGACATCTTAATATATATTGTTGATTCATTAATATTGAATTCACAGCCAACAGCACTATAACTCATGCCTACGTGAAGCTCATCCAACACATGTATTTTCTCCAAAAGGCAGGTCACAGCCTTCCTGCATGTAGGAATACTGGTCTGTATTTCACTATGCTTAGGGCCATTTTAAACAGTGAAATTACCAAAAAAATATAAAAATGCAAAATCATGCCACTAAATAGACAGAAAATAGGACACTTGTTTGCAGTAAAAGAGCTGAAACAAGAAGGCAGCCTTGTTCCACCTCAGCTGGGAACGTGCACATCAGGTGACACATTTTTTGCCACTGTGCTGCCTGAAAATGACTGCTGTGGGTATTGATTTGGGGATTACAAATAAATTTTAGCAATAAGTCCAATGGCAAGTAGGATCTGCAAATAAGGAGGATCAACTGTATCTCTGTTTTGGTCAATTCAACCAGTTGAATTTCTTTTCTTTTTTTACAGGTGTTTCAAGGGGCAGGTTTCCTCTACTTTTATCAGTGGCGTTTGTAGGGGCTCTTGTATCAAGTCTTTCTTTTTTCTGTTTGGCTAAAAGGTATGTATGCTTTTTTAAAAAAAATTAGTTTTCAAACTTGGATTTGTTTTTCAGAGGCCAGAATATAGTTTGAAAATGAAAACAAAGTCTGAAATTTTAGACATTTGAAAAGAAGGAAAAATTTTTTTTGTTTTACTTGTTGTCTGGGGTTGCTGAGCGTGCCAGGTTTCTGTATCATCTTTTTTTTTTTTTTTTTTTTTTTTTTGAGCCAGAGTCTTGCTCTGTTGCCTTGGCATCAGCCTAGCTTACAGCAAAAATCAAACTCCTGGGCTCACGGGATCCTCTTGCCTCAGCCTCCCGAGTAGCTGGGACTACAGGTGATCACCATCATGATCAGCTAATTTTTTTTGTTTATTTGGGGTCTCGCTCTTGCTCAGGCTGATCTCGAACTCCTGATCTCAAGGGTCCTCCCACCTCGGCCTCCTAGAGTGCTAGGATTATAAGCATGACACAGCACACCTAGCCAATTCTGCATTATCTTAAGTGGAATAAATCCTTGGGCCCCAGAGAACTTTACAGGCCTGGGAACACAGCCTTAATATCCCTGGACCTGTTTCATGGCCTCCTTTTATCCCTGGTGCACTTCAACATATAGTTATACTTCTTGTCTCCAAGCCAGAGTTTGCTAAAGACCTCTTTCTCTTGGCTGCCTGTATATTAGAATGTCCATGTCTTATAGCCTAGGTGGGGCTCCTGAGTAGGAAAGGAGGTTTTTGTTGAGTTGAGTGACTTTAAGTGGGTAATAATTATGCTGATATTACTTCCTGAGCCTTTCTCAGTCCCCCAGACATCTTGGGCCAGCCACACATCTTAGAGAACTAGTGACCTGTTCCCAGCCTGCTCTTATCTGGTGACAAGGAACCTCTCTCAAGTCCAAAGGACATAGGCCGGGCGCAGTGGCTCACGCCTGTAATCCTAGCACTCTGGGAGGCCGAGGCAGGTGGATCGCTCAAGGTCAGGAGTTCAAGACCAGCCTGAGCAAGAGCAAGACCCTGTCTCTACTAAAAATAGAAAGAAATTATCTGGAAAACTAAAAAAATATATATAAAAAAATTAGCCGGGCATGGTGGCACATGCCTGTAGTCCCAGCTACTCAGGAGGCTGAGGCAGTAGGATTGCTTGAGCCCAGGAATGTGAGGTTGCTGTGAGCTAGGCTGATGCCATGGCACTCACTCTAGCCAGGGCAACAGAGTGAGACTCTGTCTCAAAAAAAAAAAAAAAAAAAGTCCAAAGGACATGGACCAGGCTATAAATTTGAAGAGTAGATGTTCTTGATGCCTCAGTAGTGTATCAGCCTTAATCAAAAGGAAATTTGCTAGGCTAATTCATCACTCCCATAGGGAATGTGGAAGGTAAACTTTCTATAAGGTCATAGCATCTAACATCCATGTTATTTCACACTTGTGTCTTGAGTCAAGTTGCAAACTAGATTCCAATTCACTAGCCAAATGTTTCTTATTTAAATATAACATTTAATTAACTAAAACTAAATTTAAAATTCATTCCTTAGTCATACTATCCACATTTCAAGTGCTCAGTAGCAATAACTAGCTAGTAGCTAGCCTATCAGATAGCCCAGATAGGGAATAATTTTATCATTGCAGAAAGTTCTCTTGGTCAGTGCTAACATAGACTATTTTGGGATATTAGTGCTAGAATCTAATTTCCTGAGGATGCCATTTTTATATTATAAGTTGCAACTACCATGAAGAACCCTAAGTATTAGATCATTAAATATGAAATGTCCAATTTTGAATCAAAAGTGTAGTTTATTATATCTCAAACAAGAAGCTGTACAATTAATCAAAATATGTGCCTACATTGTCAACACAATTTTGCCATCTTAATGGTAGCTTGTTTATGCCAGCAGCGAAGAAGCCTAGAGAGTGAGTGGCAATGAAATCACAAAAGGCTTTTCCACAGCTTGTTGAGAATTGAATATTTTTCCTTGCAAGAAGTGATCCAAAGCCTGGAAGAAGTGGTAGTCAGTTGGTGCAAGGTCTGGTGAATACGGTGGATGACAGAGAGTTTCCAAGAACAAAGAACGCTGCTGTAGTTTGACTAGTATTGTTTGTGCAACATGTGGTCAAGCATTGTCTTGCAAGAAGATTGGCCTGTCTCTATTGACCAGTCTCGGCTGCTTACTCGCAAGCTTCCTCATCATTTAGTACAATTGGTTGCAGTAGACATCCGCTGTAGTTGACTGACCAGGTTTCATGAAGCTATCATGGATAATACTGGCATTAGACCACCAAACAGACACCATTAGCTTTTTTTTGATGAATATTCAGTTTTGGACTGTGTTTCAGCACTTATTCTTTGTCCATCCCTTGTGCTGAATGCTTGGATTGTCAAAAAGAATCCGTTTTTCATCACACGTAACAATATGGTGTAGAAATGGTTTGCCTTTATGTCATGACAGCAAAGAAAGGCAAGCTTTGAGACGATTCCTCTTCTGACACTGGTTTAATTCATGCAGTACCCTTCTATCCAGCTTCTTTACCTTGCCCATTTGTTTCAAATGGTCCAATACTGTTGGAATAGTAACGTCAAACCTTGCTGCTAATTCACGCGTAGGTTGAGATGGATTCGCTTCCACTACAGCTTTCAGCTCATCATTATCCACCTTGGTCTCAGGTCACCCACGTGGCTCATTTTCAAGATTAAAATCCCAGAAAGAAACTTCTCAAACCATTGACATATTGTGCGTTCATTAGCCAGATCCTTCCCAAACACTTTGTTGATATTTCAAGCTGTCTGTACTACATTGGTTCTACAACAGAACTCATATTCAAAAATAACATATTTTTGAGTTATCAGAAGTCAAAAATTTTGACGTTTGTCCATGGTTCCACAAAAATTGCTCTAAAAAATGTGAAGGATTATCACAAGCCAAAATGTGCATTTGCAAGACTGAGGATGTACCTTCACAATAAAAACAAAACAAAAATTGTCAAAGTGGGCCGGGCGCAGTGGCTCACTCCTGTAATCCTAGCACTCTGGGAGGCCG